CAAGAACTGTTACATAATCAACACAATGCCCCAGCATAATATAAAACTAATTAAGTGCCCTATCATGGAGGACAGTATTAACCTGGTGCAGAACAGTTATTCAAGTTGGCACCAGGAGAACTTCCATGGAGAGCTTGTCTAGAACTGAGGGACTACCACTGTGAAGGCCCTTCTCTTTGTCACCACCGACCCAGCCTCCCTCAGAGTTGGCAATCAGGGGCCAGCCATGCATCTTGATCATAGTTTTCAGATAGACTGCAGCTGGGAGAGGTGTTCTGTCAGGCACTGCCATCCTAAGCAGGGGGAATGTGTCTCTGAAAAGCTTCTTTGAAATGGAATTTGGTCCTCCTGGCTGAAAGGGGCTCAAGTAGTTCATACTATCTGAAGAACCAACTAGTCAAGGTTTTCCTGGGCTAGAAGCAGCAGTGGAGGGGAGAGATGTTTAGTTGGTTGGGATGGATTAGTAAGTGAATGAAGACCAATCTCTGAACACATGCTAAAGACAGAGGCTGGAATCCTTCCAGTTTTGCCAGACTGTTTGATTGTGCTAGGAAGGTCTGGGTTAATAAATGCACCTGTCCGGGGTGCTATACTAAAAAAAAAAAAATAAGGATTTCATTACCATCTAGTATCTTAGATCTTTTACTAAGGTAGATCATGCAGCTGTTCCTAGAGAGCCCTTCCTTACATGGTTAAAATCAAGGGTAGTCAAAAAGAAAAGTACATCTGGGTCCTGGGGGGGGGGGGGTAGGGAAGGGGATACCATTATTTGTAAAATGTATTTCTGCTATACTGAAGTTCTCGAGCAGTGGGAGAAAGAAGCAAAGGAGAGGAGTCTGTTTTTTCTTTTGTTTTTTTCATGCATTTAAAGGCTGACTTTGTAAAATATACTGGGTAAAAGAAGAGAACATCTTGTCTGATTTCAGGTTTCTTTCTTCCTAAAGCCATCTGCGGGGGTGGGGGGAACGGGGTGTTTGATAGGCAACCTCTGCTGCTTGATGTCCTGGTGATGGTAAGAAAATGAACTGCGTGCAAGAGCTTGTTTGTCAGGTTTGGGTGGAAGATGTCTGGCTGGTTGCCCCCACACTCTCTGGGCATCACCTTACATGCTGGCCCTAGGAATGCGGCACACTACTAGCTTTGTGTTATCCAGACACCTTAAGCAGAGACAATTTTTTTCTTCTGCTAAGATGGCAAAATATTTTGAGCCAACCCCGATTGCTAGAAGACAAACCCATCACTGCAATGTTTAGAGCAGCATAACTTAGGACATGTGTACCCCATAGACCTAAGCTTCTTCGCTAGCCTTCCTCCCTCTCTCCCCAGCTGAAAAGTGATACAGCTAGAGATATCTAAGGCAAAAATATGGCTTTTGAGGAGACTGCTCACAAGGTCTATAGCCATATCAACGCCATGCCCAGATGCCTTTTTTTTCACCTCTGGGCTAAGATTGCCAATTGCTGATCTCTACAGAAGGGCTCTCAGTATTTCTCATCCTTTTTAACTTGGGCTAATATTACCACATTGCCTGATGTCTTGTGAGGCTCACCACCTGGGCAGGTATTTTGGCTTTCCTTTTGGAGAAGAAATAAAGCAGGTGCATTTATTTTAAAATGAAGCCAGGTGCATATTTCTCTGAATGCTGTTTGCACTTGTTCTACCAAGAAGAGCTGAAAAAGTTCATTCAGTAGAGTACCCCAAACTGATTCCTGTTTAACTTCTTTGTTAAGTAAACTCTCAAAATGAGCCAGAGCAGGTCTCTCGGACTGCAGCAGGTATACTCATTTCACCATGCTGTCCTGCACCTCCTACAACAGCTTCCTAATCATGCCCTGGACCACTCCGTGATTTAAGCAATTATGAAACATTCCCTGCATTCAGAGTTGTTTATTTGGCCAATGAGGCAATTTCCAGTTCCAGAACAGTCTCTCAGCTCATTTTAAAAAGCTACCAATAAGCATGCAGAAATTAAACGACTACTTCAGCCACCAAGAGAACATTTCAAATACTAGCTAGTTTAAGCAGAATTAAATTTATTGTTTTGCCTCACTGCTTTCTAAGGATATTGCAACCCTTTCCCTATCCCAATACCAGTTTTTCACAAGAATAGATACAATCTACTGCCTATTTCTTTCTAAAATGGCCCTATTCAATAAAGGATGCTTATTCAATTGTATACATGGATTGCAGCCAATCCACATGTGTTCCCTAATGCTGAAGTCAGCAAAGCGCATCTATATATAATCCAAAATCACTCAGCATCTCTGATCAGCTCATAAATCTTTTCACAGTGTGGACAAATAAGGAATATGCCAAAAAAGAGAGAGAGAGATGAAAGTAGCATTACATAAATTACAGCTTTCCATCAACCTGTTTCAAACAGTCTCACCATTGAGCTCATCCCTGGTTTTTGTAGATCTTTTGCCCCGCTTCTTGAAAAAGTTAGAGGCATCCGATTCCTGCATGAAGACTCTATTTTTCATACCTAGAAGTGGAGAAATAAGTTGGTCTGACTTATAAACAATATTTAAATAACTTTGTAGCTTTTTTCTATTCTTCCCTCCTTTCCAAAATCAATGAATGAATTACATTGCAGCTCCCAACTTACTTTCCTTGTTCAGTTCTCCAGCTGCTGCAGATTTCTTGTTTGAATCCACAACCATGGTGTCGCCTCCCTCAAGAACTACACAAGGCAAAACTACAAATTCAGTCTTGCATTTAGTGAAAGAATACACATAGAATCTTTGAAAGAATTGCTGATGAATATTTAAAATTTCTACCTGCTAGAACCACAGTATTTACCTCACATTCTAATCTGCCTACTGTAAGCATTCTGTGCAATTTGCCTGTCTCAGACTGCAAAGGTCCAGTCCACATCTTGGATGCAAGTAAAACAATCAGTAGTCCTGATTTAGCTAGATGCTGAACATCCTTTAGACATTACAATTGGTGATTTGATTCATTCGGACATATCTCTAGCCTCTCCCATCCTGTTAAACTGATAAATGTGCCATCCCTTGTCCTATAACAACAGGATAGGTTTAGATTTTTCTGTACTGAAAATCAGCTTTTCTATTTTACTTATCACTGCAAATCATACATACCAATCAGGAGCACAAAAGTCGTGAGGCAGGACAGAAAAAGCCCTTGTTTCCATTTCATCTTTTCTTTGTTCCACCTGGCACAGTAATGCACGTCACTGTGACTTTTGGAGAGTGTCTTGCAAAAAAAAAAACAAAAAACCAAAAATAACCCCCCACCCCCCAAAAAAGTAAAGGGGGCAAAAATTCAGCCTTCCTTCTAGGAAATGAAGAGGAAAGTGAGGCTCTTCTTGGGCAGGGGGGTGATGCTGATGAGAGGGTGAGAGGAGGGACCTTGGATGGCACTTGAGTTGGCAGCTCCTGGTGTTACGCTTATAGGCACGTTCAAAAGAGAGTGGAAACATCAACATAGGAAGAACGCATACATCATGTGAGCTCTGTGCCGCTTCATGGGGGTGCCTCATCTGTGCCTGGAAGTAAGCACATTACGCCCAGCCAAGCAACATGGGGATGCTCAGGGAGCACCCAATCAAAGAAATGAAAAGGAATGGCTGGCTGCCAGCCAGGGGTGCTCCGAAACCTATAGTTGCTGTCAGGCAAATGGGCAACAAGGTGAGCAGCACAGGCTGCTTGATCAAATCTAGACCTGAGTTGCAACTGCTGAAGGACCCCAGCCTTGTGAATCGGAGCACTTCAGGTGAAGGCTTGAATGGTGCCGCCGCCCTGCATCATTTACAGAACTTTACCAGGGGCCCAGATGCTGTCTGTCATCATCATCATCATTGCCCACCTGGTACCCCCCGTGCTTTCCCACCGCTTCTTCTATTGTTTCCTATTTTCCACCAAAATATAAGGAGGAATAGATGGAATAGCTGCACAACACTACCAGTGCTAGAAGCCCTCCGCCTGGAAGCACCATTAGCTCAAGAAGCCATCTAGCCCAACATTTGTTTCCCATTTTCCAGCACTGCAAGCAGGATGTTTATGGAAAGCTGAGTAGCAGGCGCTTAAGACTGACACCTTTTCCCTGATTCTGAACCTGTGCCAGGTGTACATTCAGTGAGTGAAGTTCAACTGCTGAACACAAGAGGAAGCATTAGAGTCCCATGGGCTTGCTGTCTTGGGAAGGGTAAGGGTTGGAGTCTGATATAATTTAGGACAAACCAGGTGCATTTCCTAGGAGGAAGGAAATAGTATCCGGTGCAAAGTGAATGACTGTTATAAATAATGATGCAAATAATGGAGCAAACATGTTATATACTATGCCAGAGAAGTCCTAATTCCCTTTCAGATGTGGCAATGTCATTCTGTTGTCATTCTTCTTTAATAGTTTTTAGTTTACCTGGTGCTCTACAGGGTAAATAACGTTGAGAAACAGGCCTAATGCCGTAGTAAATATAGGATGTCAAATAACAGGACACATTAATACACAGTAGTTGCTGTTTCAAAACTGAAGGTAAGGTTTGGTTCCAACAGTTAAATGTATTTGTAAACAGCCATCTGTGTGGTCTGTAGGATGTCACTTGAAACTTGTGTTCTGATGGACACTTTGAGTGATCTTAGTTAGCTTAGGGTAAAGACATGAGCCTCTGAAGCATCCTAAAAATAGGAGGGAGATATATGCTCAAAAATCCAGATTTTTCCTCCAGGTAAATGCCCTAATTAGATATGATGAAAGTGACAGGCATGTCTTGCTTCTCAAATTTAACCAACTGGGCACAACAGAAACCCAATGCTATAGGCACATACTCTTAGTAGAGGTGCCAGTCGCAAGCAGGGGAATGAAGACTTATCTGCAATCAATGGTAAGCATCGACACAGATGACACAAAACAACAAAGAAAGCAATGCAGAATAAAACTAGAAAGATGTAAGCATTTTTAAAGGCTTGCTGGTGCCAAAAAAGATATCAAAGATTCTTCTAGGTAAATTTCCCTGGAAAGGAGTTTCCAAAGGTGGGGCATGCAACCAGCCACTACTTGCCTCACTTCTAAAGGACTTCTGAGGATGATCTTGACATTTGGGCAGGTTCATGGAGGAGAAAACAGTTCTTTGGGTACCCAGGTCTTAAGTTATGTTAGTTTTTAGCATAGCAATCAGCACTGTGAATTTTGTTCAAAAGTAGTCAGAGGTTCAAGAGTTGTTAGATGTTCCTGGTCAGCCATCCTGCAGTTTTACATACCAACTGACTTTTCCAAATGGTCCACAAAATAGTCCAAGGTGTGGCTTTGCAGTCATCTAAGCAGGATGTTATAACAGGCAGGAGTCCTGCTGGCCAGACAGTTTCTGTCTAGGAAGGGACACAGTTGGTGCACTAGCCTTAGCCATGTGAAAATCTTGCATGCGAAGAAGGCAACTAGTGTATTTTTATCTGTTCCTTACACTACCCAAAAATCAAGTTCTCCAAGTACAGGTTTCCAAAGATCAGACAGCATACCGAAGATGCAAAGCTGATCGTTCTGAGAAAGAGTCATCCTGTCCAGAAAAGGTAAAACTACCACTTCCCAAATCAGGTGAATTATTTCCTAACAGTATGCCTGCCTTGTGTGGACTGAGCTTCTGGTTGGGTGGTCCAAATCCAGCTAATGGATTGATGGCCACATAACTTCACATTCTCACTGAGGAAAGTGGAGCAATAGGCATAAATCATACTTTCTAAATATGATTGCTGATTGCATTTTTCCTCTCGAGTTTCCTCCCTAAAGAAGGGTTACCTCTCCTGCCACTGCTCAAAGGGACTTGGGTGCTAAAAGCACCTTATTCAGTGGTGTTAGAGAAAGAGATGCAGTGGCGTAATGGTGAGAGAATTCCTTCCTTTTAATGTCTGCTAGTGCTGTTTGGGCCTTTTGTTTTGACTACATGCTTCTTGTTTCTGTTCTTAGTTTTAATCTCCTGATTTTATGTAGTCCAAGTTGTAGTTATTTTAATTGCTGATTTTATTTATTGATTTTATAATTTATGCCAGGATGTTGCCAGTTGTTATGCATTTGTATTGATATTTATTTATCTGTTGGAAGCTGCCCTGAAGCTTATGCAAATAGGGCGGCATATAAGAATTCCAAATAAATAAATAAATAGTTCACAACTTTCAGGTGCTGATTCCTTTGCTTCTAGATGTCAGCATGCCCAAGTGGTGATATCTGTTTCAGGAGGCATCCACTTCTGACCAAAGCTGCTGCTAGGTTTAATTAGGTGTTTATTTTTATTTTATATTATAAAGTATTGTATTTTTTTCTTGTTAAATTTTATGTTATTAGCAGTTATAAACTGCTCAGAGTTTCAATTGTTGGGTAAAATAACATAAATAAAATCAAATGACTTAATAAAATAAGTTTCCCCAATTCACAAAACTGGAAGGAGGGAAACCCCTCCCCTCACATTTTTGGCTGTGAATCACTGTGTAACCAGATGTATTATAGGTTTCATATGAGTATCAAACAATGCCCAGGTTAGTACATATCTAATTCCCCATGTCAACTCACTGGACATTCCTCACATTTAATTTGATACATCAATCTGGATGTTCATAACCCTCCAAGTTCAGAGGTTTGCAGGCATCTCCTGCTCAGCAAAATGCTTAGCCGATTTTAGTTGTCACACCTTGGATACCTTGGCTGGCTGGATGCACAAGCATGGCCAAAAGGCATGGCTAAAGATGGCATTTTTGTTGTTCAATGTGTGGTCCTTGGGAACTGGAAATCTGAGACTGCCGCAAACCATGAGAGATGGAACAAAAGGATGCTGAACGAAGCTGGCATGCAGCAGTCAACATGTATGAAGCAAGGGCATTGGGAAGCATTTGATAGTATTTGCAGTGGATGCTTGGAACTGTACATGGACTAGAAGCCACCTAGACTATGCCAAAGGATAGTAGTTCTGCAGCTTTGAATCATAAATCAGAAATGTTCTGCATGATACATATTATTGTTGTTCTTACAATAGCACTGCATTTCTGTTCTGCCTTTTTTCCTTTTTTAAGGAACCCGAGGCAGCTAACTTAGTTCCATTTTATCCTCACAACAACAAACCTGTGAGGTAGGTTGGGCTGAAGGTGACTTGGTCCAAAGTCACCCAGTGAACTTCATAGCTGAGTGAGGACTAGAACCTGGGTCTCCCAGGTTCCCAGTCCTACACTAACCACCACACCCCACTGTCTCTCAGGTCTTTTTTGTTTTTATTATTTAATTCTATCTATGTTCATGTCTTATTTAAATCATATGGGGACACATGCAGGAGAGAGATAGAGAAGCAGAGGAGAAAGTTTACGTGTGCAATCAAAACATTTTCAATAAACTGTTAATAGTGACAAAAAGAGATTTTGTGTCTAAGTGCAGAATAATTGAGACATAATGTTCAGAACGACCATTCCCGTTCGCAAATGGGGTACTGGCAGCAGTCAGTTTATGGAATGTACAAGAGTGCTTGAAAGTAAATACTGAGTCAGTGCTCCTGGCACAGGAGCCAGTGAATCCAATGAATGCTGGGTTTGTGCCCTGAAGAGATCTTTGCCATTTCTGATGTTTCTACTACAAGCTGTTGTTGAAATGAAGCTGCTGGACATCTCAGGAGTCTAAGGATAGTTTCCTCACACCACGCAAGGACTAGCAAATCTTTGCTTGCTCAACTGGAGCGGTTCTCAGACCATGTTGACTGATGACCATGATTCTGTTTTGCTTGTTCTTTGTGGTTCACGTTTTCATATTATATGGCTACCAAGTGGAAGAGCACTTGAAGACACTTCTGAATTAAAGTGGGGCTTGTTTTCTATGACTATGTTCTGAAAAATCAATATGTACAAGGCAAACAGGCACTGTTTTCCTTGCAGCTGCTTAGGCAAGACTCAGATACCTGTTGCCTCTTCAGTATGTGGTGGAGTTTTCTAAGAAGCCTCTGCCCCCTCAGTAGGTGGTAGCTCTCCATCACTATGTTTATTCTGGTTTGAAAGATCAACCAAAGGGAACCACCTGAGCCCAAACTGCAGTGCCTGTTCTCTTAGTGACCTCAAAGAATGGGAAGGGGGACATGCAGTGCAGATAGAGAATAGAAAGGAGCAGTCCTTTCTGCTACATGCTAAATGAGGTCTACATCCAGTGCACTTCACTTCTGCACCTCGGATGGGAAAGAAATGCAGGTG